TGTTATTATCTACTCTTGACATATATGTATAAGAATTAACGTAGCTAATACGGCTGTAACGATACGCAAGTCTCTCGATTCGATCCGGTTCTCGATATTAGCCTCTCGATTCGATTCCTTCGATTCGATTCCCAAAATATTGAAATGTTATCTTGTTTTTTATATTTTCATTATTTTGCAATAATAAATTATTAGAAATTGCCAATGAATACTAAATGGTGAATAGACTATAGAGTCTAGAGAGTATAATACACTGCACAGTCGCTGAGAAACATTGGTGAGTAACACCAGAGCATAATATAAATCAGTGATTTAATTATATGCTCTGGTAACACTCCACAGTATATAGCGAAGTGCCGCCATCTATTGAAGGAAAAATGTGGTATCGAAGTGGAATCGAAAATACGGGAAAAAATATCGAGGATCGGATCGAGGGAAGAGAATCTCGATCCGATTCGATTTCGGTGGATCGTTACAGCCCTAGTAGTAGCTAAACATGAAAGTATACATACAAAAGAATTCTCCTTTCGCACTACGATGGGGAATCCTATTGTTTCCAACAACTAATCTCTAATGCCAGTAATGGAGGAACTTATAACCTCAACTCACATACAGTATAATATCTTTAGTACTTTTTACTTTCGTTAATTTTAATTGAATGCAGTACACGTGCTTTTTGATCATGTAATTATTGTGCCAGCCGTAAGAAATTTTGGCTGCATAATTTACAAAGAAAGGGGGCCTTAGAATAGAACCAGTTTAGAACCTTAGAACTGGGCCTTTTGTTAGTTTTTCTTGGCGCAGCACTGAAAATAGAGACCGACCAGCCCTACATTATAATTCTCTGGTCGTGTATGGCGTATAGGTCCATAAGTAGTACATTCAATGTTAATGTGATAGGTAATTTGCATTAGCACAACAATAAAACAGAGAATTCACGCATAATTCGATAGTAAATACTAAAATGGGAATTTTTACTCGCGTTTCCATAGACTCTACACTGGCAAATCAACGTAATTTGCTCGAATGCCGCTAATACTAACTGAAAATTACACTAAATCAAGGCGTGAATTATGAAAAGTAATTACTGCGACGAAATCTTGGCGTCCGAAGTTTAAAAAAGTTGCCGATTCGTGTGAACGCTTGACGCGAGACACCCAAACCAAACGTGAATATGGCCACGGTACGCAGACACGACAGAAGGACGCAGTAATGGTCGATCTATCCATCACGTCTTCTAGCGAACGCTTCCCGTTATAAATACTAATTTCGGTTTTAGCGACAAACCACGCTTGATTCACGTCATGTTTGTGTTGTTTTCCGTGCATGAGTGCTCACCGGTTACGTAGGTCTCCGTCGTCACCAAATTTGCGCTTTCGGAGTGGCAGATCTGGAATACGTAGAGCAACGTCAAAATTACACGCACTTCGTCACAGCTCTCGACAACGAAACCGGATTACCATCCTGTCTCGGCAATATCGATGCGCCCACCGAACGGGAAAACTATTCCGATTGGTCGTGGTGCGAGATTCTTTTGTTCGTATGGATTTTTTCATTGGATACGAGACCGATTGCAAGCCGTAAAGGTGAACTATATTTCATATTCGAAGGCGTTCGTTAAGAATTTCCTGTGAGATTATATGAGGTTTATTTACTCGTAGTACCATGGAATTACGTTAATAAAAATTGATTTTTAAAATAGAATCATAAGAACTTGCGTCGGTTGGCAAATAATTAATTAGAAATAGACACTTTGTACTATTTTACTATCGCAAGGCTGAATAATCGAATGGCGTGATGCGGTAGCACTGACTCACTGAGGAAAATGACAATATTATGATCAGAAAGGTTCGTATTTTTTCATTCGTGAGCTGCATGTAGTTTAAAAAAGGCTTTACGCATCTAAAATTTTTATTGCTATTGAGAGGTTAAATGCCTATACATTGCCATTGTGTTTGCTATATAAGAATTTTAATATAAAAGTGATGCATTTGAGCGTTCTAATTAGTAGTTAAATTACGACTAGGCCCAAGGGCAAGGGCTAGGCCTATTCCGATTTTATTTCCCCTTGACATTGTAAGCTAGTTTGATTTATTGTCTGTCACTGCAGTCTTAGTGCAGTAAAGGTCACGTTCAATAACTGATTAAAACTGTACGAGCCTGGCATTTGATTTATGTAATCACAATGTCATTATCTAACAATAACATTACTGTCATTAGTCATTAGTCATTCAGGGCCCTAGCTAGGATTTTTTTTCCTGTAGCCAAACAATTAGCCAGAATCAATTTTCATTAGCCAATTTGGATTCCTGTTAGCCACATCTGTAGCCTAACATTTTCTGAACACAAAAAGCCAATAAATAATTTTTCTTTTCTTTATTTTTTCACAAACTTTTATATGCATGAAGTGCAAAACTACACTTATTTAATGCAAACAAACTATTATTCACCACCTGTCTATGACTGAGACACTAACACTATGATTCACCACCATGACTCTGACTGACTGACAGAGACATTCAAATTGTCTGAATTTTTTTCTTCACTGCAGGCAGGAAAAATCTTTTTTGGCACATCACTAGACATAGCACTTTTCAAAGTCAAACATCTCTTCTTCTGGGCCTTCAATTTTGATGGTTAGAATGTCACAAACCCTTTCTGTTTTCAGATTATTTCTCAGAGCTGTTTTAACCAAATTATGTCTGCTAAAACCCCTCTCCACCTTCAAGTTCAACTGTTGTAGATGGTAGGGTCAACTAGCTTTTTACAGTACCTGACACACAATATGCACGCACGCGCACGCACGTACGCACGCACACGCGTGCAGTACAGTATAGACAGTACTATACACACTATAGTTATTTACAGTAATACTAATGATTTACAGAAGAGTTTTCACAGCATATGCATATACTCTACTACTTTTGTAACTTCGGGATGCTATTGAACCAGAAAAGTTAGCTGCTCATCAAAGCTGAATTTATTCCCCAGTTAGTACTTATCAGTTTTACTACTTTTCACAGTACACAAACACACACACACACACACACACACACACACACACACCTACACACACGCACACACACGCACGCGCGCACACACACGTGCACGCACAGCGGCACAGGCGTAGTAAAAATCATTTGACTTTTGCCAGCGCCATTGCCGTGCCGTGCCATGTGTGGAGACAGGCCTTTTTTAAACACCAGGGTTTCTTCTTATGAGGGAAAATTAGACAACGGTGGTAATGCCCAGTTTGGGGAAAAACGCACATGATGGATTCAAAGGCGTGCAGTAGGCACGAATGTGGATTCTGCAGGCAGACGCGAGGGAGAGAGGTAGAGAGGGTTTTGGGGGTCTCCCCCAGCAAAATTTAAAACATTTGAATGTCTTAGACTGCATTTGATGCACCCCGAAAATAAAATTTCACCCTTTAGTTTAAATCTTACTCTGTTAGCAGACCTACTAAGTCTCACGCTGCACATTTCGCGGGAGACTCACGCATCTGGACCCATTCTCCCGCGCTCCCGCATGCCCTACGCATTCTCACGCATGCATGCCAAAAAAAAATGAAAAAAGCAGCCCGCGACACCCCTGTTACCCACGTCAGTGGCTGTGACGAAGCCAGAGAAGTATAGAGAACAATAGCGGCGCGAGGCTCGCTTTGCCCTTGAAATGCCACAGCTCTGCCATGTACCGTTAGTTTTGCACCCCGCCCCCCTTACCATCGCTCAGTTTAAAGTGTGTTTCTATGCATTTTGTATCTGGCACTGTCTACCGGTGAAATGGAATCAGCCTATCCGACAGCCGTCTGCAAGTGTCCGCGTAGCCTTGCCGTCGAGTAGTATCGTGTCTCTAATGAAGATAACTACGTGGAGAGAATGGCGTTCCAATTGCCATTGCCATCCAAGAAAACCCAACTTTTGACAGAAACTTCAGGAAACGAATATACGACAGATGTGGCCCTGTACTTTGTGAAGCGTCCAAAACTCAGCTGTAATCATGGCTATTGGCATGGTATGCAGACAGACTTTCAAAGTGGGGCACGGAGGACCGAGTGACTGCCAGAGGCATAATTATAGTCCTCTCAACAGTCATAAGTGTAGTGCGGGGCGTGGAATCTACACTCAAGTATCGTCTAAAGCTTTCCTTTGCAGCAGATAGAGATTGTCTGTCTTGACGCAGAATGAGAATTTACGGTATTATTTAATTGAACACAATGTGCCTTTGAGGGCGGCAGACCCATCAGAATGACATCTTGCAAGAAAATGTTCCAAGACTCGACAAAATCACCAAAAAGTATATGGGTTCAAACATACAAAAAGCACTTGAAATTGTGAGAAATTGCATTCTTACCTGTGTTTTAACTACATGTATTATTACTGATAGTAACCTACAAGCCCTGTCCTACACTAGCAAACTTTAGTTTGCAAACTCGAGCAATACTCGGAGTTTGGCCCAGAAAGTTCTTCCAAAAGTTTGGCCAGTGTATGACCCCCGTTAAAATCGTTTGGCAAAACTAGTTTGGCAGAAGTTGCAGAAGTTTAGGCCATGCAGCCTTCTTGACAAACTAGTTTGCTCCGAGCTTGTGCTGAGGTTTGGAATAATAACAGCCACCATCAAATGACATTGTTTTTATCCCATGTGATCCTGCAGATGAATCAATACATTGGACATTGAAACATTGAGTATTCACAGTCAGTACCGATGTAGTGTAAGTGTACGGTCAGTACCATTAGTCGTAACAGGCACCAGACAAACCTTCTTCCAAACGTTGGCAAACTCGGAGTTCTGCTTCGAGTTTGCAAAAAGTTTTGCATAGTGTAGACAGGCTAAGCTGTGTACGGCTCTCTGAAGCTCAGAAATGTTTTGAATCCTAAACTTGTGGGGTTGAGGTCTAGGGATGCAGATAGCTAGGGCCCTGTCGCTACCGTGGGGTGGGGGCAGTGGGTGCACGCGCCAAATGTCGCCCAATGGCGAACAAATTAGTAGTCTGCGGCGATTGCAAGGTCTTATTTTGGCGACAAAAGTGACAACGTAATTTTTACCATATATAAACATGACCCAGGGCAAACATCGATCCTATTTGAATTGTCGAAAGCAACGCAACATTTGCTTTTGCGTGCCGCACAACTCCTGTGTCATTCCCGATTGCACTGTTTATGCTTCCGATTGCCGGGAAAGGGTTTTTGTCCGCTCCTCCGTAATAGAGTTATACCAGCAGCGCGTGCCCCCCTACATATACCAGGCATAACCACACCCCCACTGCAGGGGCGTAGCCAGGATTTTCAAAAGTTGTATGCAGACTATCTGAGACGAAGCGCACATCGGTTTGCGGCGGAGCGCACCGAAGAAAGATTTTGGTTTTACAAACCCCCAGATGGCCGGACCAACGCGCCCCTTCCGGTCCGCGAGTGTTCATTCTGATCCCTGGCCTCCTTGCTAACTTGAACAGAACTCATTCAATATCATCTTTTAAGATCGCCCAAAAAAACCACAAACGAGTTAAAATAGTGTTAGCGAACGAGTTAAAAGTATAAAAACTGACGAAGATCGGATCCTAAGTCTTATCGCGGTAGAGTGTTGACTGAAACGCACGCGAGTATGAATGACAGCCTAGATGACAGACGAATAGGTTCCACCTAATATTAGCCATATTCTTGCCTATGTTCATTTCACATATTTTTCCCCTGCCTAGACGCCTTACACACGTCTAGCAATGCTTATGGATTTGAATTATGGGTGTTTAAATTAAAAAAAGATAACTTTGCCAAAAAAAGTGTAGCCGCGCATACATGCGCTACATAACTGGCCTACGCCCGCCTGACCTGTCAACGAATCCCAGTGCATATCGCTCCCCCCCCCCCCCTCGTACTTCAATCAATGCCGCCCAGCCAGCAAGCACGAGCCCAGCCGAGTTGCAAG